TCGGGGTATGAAGCAAAGGCGGGTTCGATAAGTATCGCTTTAGTTCCTCCAGGGCTCGTTGGCATTCCGGGGTCCATGCAAAATCCTTTTTCTTTTTGAGCAAGGAAAAGAAACGGTGACTTCGATCTGACGACCTCGAAATGAACTGACCCAAAGCAGCTATTCGTGCTGTTAGCCTTTGCACGACCTTCACGCTATCCACGATCGTGATATCCTTGATGGCTTTGATCTTATCGGGGTTAATCTCGATACCCCGATTCGACACCATGAAGCCGAGGAACTTACCCGAGCCAACTTCGAAGGCACACTTCTCCAGGATAAGCTTCATGTTGTATTTCCTCAAGATTTTGAATGTTTCCTGCAAATGAGCTAAATGGTCCTCTGCGCGCAGGGACTTAACCAACATATCATCAATATAAACTTCCATTATTTTACCTATTTGTTCTTCGAACATTTTGTTGACTAGGCGTTGGTATGTAGCTCCTGCATTTTTTAGCCCGAAGGGTATTACGTTGTAACAATAAGTTCCACACTTAGTAATAAAAGAAGTCTTTTCCTTGTCCTCCGGGTTCGTCTGAATTTGATTGTACCCAGAGTATGCATCGAGAAAAGTTAGGGTCTCGTGGCCAGCCGTGGCATTGATCATACGATCGATGTTTGGCAAATGGGAATGAATCTTTCGGACATGCCTTGTTCATGTCCTTATGGTCTAAACACATTCTAAGCTTGTTTCCTTTATTAGGAACTACAACTACGTTGGCTAACTATTTGGGGTAATTTAACTCCCGAATGGATCCTATTTTAAGAAGTTTGGTTACCTCGTCTTTTATGAAAACATGTTTTACCTCGGACTGAGGCCTCCTTTTTTGTTCACCGGTTTGAACTTGGGGTCGCTGCTTAGCCGATGTGTGGTGACTTCCGGTGGAATTCCTGTCATATCTAAATGGGACCAAGCAAAGCAATCCATATTATCAATAAGAATTTGAATGAGTTTTTTCCTGAGTACGGGGTCAATCCCGTTCCCAGGTATACCTTTCTCTCGGGCAAGTATTCGATAAGTATGACCTGCTCCAATTCCTCGACAGATGACTTTGTTGCATCGGACTCTTCGGGAATGACGTTCGAGGAGTAAGGAAGTCCTCTTCTTCGTCTTCGATTACCTGTTGTTCCGACTCCATCGAGGCTAGGGGCTGTGATTGCTATTTAGCCACCTACTTACCTTTGGTGCTCGATTTTTCTGAGGTCAAAGCCTCTAGTATCGACACCGCTTCCTCGATTGCAAACATCTCTTTTGCAGTATGTTTCTCTCCGTAGACCGTTTTCACTCCTTCCTCTGTTGGGAACTTCATCATCTGGTGAAGAGTTGAAGGCACTGCCCTCATGTTGTGTATCCATGGTCTCCCGAGGAGTGCATTATACCTCATGTCGCCTTCGATGACATGGAATTTAGTGTCTTGTATGGTCCCGGCTTCGTTTACTGGCAAGATGATCTCTCCATTTGTTATTTCACTTGCCATGTTGAAGCCATTTAGGACCCGGGATGCAGGAACAATCTGATCTTGTAGGCCGAGTTGTTCCACGACCCTTGATCTAATTATGTTCAATAAGCTACCCGGATCTACTAAAACACATTTAACTTGAATTTTATTTAAAAGGACAGAGATTACCAGGGCATCGTTGTGAGGCTGTGACATGCCTTCTGCTTCCTCATCACATAATGATAAGGCGTCCTCGGGCACATAACTTCGAGTCCATTTTTCTCTGGTGATTGATACCTTGGTGCGTTTGAACACAGGTCATTGAGGGACATCGACTCCGCCAATGATCATGTGGATTACATGTTGTGGTTCTTCTTGCTCATTTTCCTTGCATCTCTCTCCCTAAAGTGGTTTTTGGCTCGATCACTGAGGAATTCCCGAAGGTGACCCTCATTGAATAATCGAGCCACTTCTTCCCTTAGCTGCTTGCAATCTTCTGTACTATGGCCATGTGTGCCATGATACTTGCACATCAAGTTCGGATTCCTTTGAGAAGGATCGGTCTGTATAGGCCTGGGCCACTTGGTGTCCTTAATTCTCCCAATAGCTGACACAATCCCTGATGCATCTATGCTGAAGTTGTACTCCGATAATCGATGTGCCTTTGCGGAATCGATATGCTTATCGAATCCATTTTTACTCATGAGTCCCCGAGAACTTTGGCCTCGATAGTCTCTCTGATCGTTTTGAGGAGCGCTCCGACCTAAACTGTTGTTCCTTCGATCGATGTACGATTGATACCATTCCCTGTTCGATCTCGATTCCCTATTAGTATCCCTCGGGGGCTTGGCCGCGAACCTGTTAGGATGAACTGAACCCGAGGGGGCTCCCAACTGGTAGTCTTCGACCCTGATTTTTGACTGATATCAGTTGTGCACATCTGACCATGTCACAGCTGGATACTCGATCTAGTTTTTCTTTAATTGTCGAGATGCAATCGAGCTCCTTTCATTCAAACCTTGCATAAAAGCTTGTACTGCCCAGTCATCCGAGACTGGTGGTAATTCCATTCTTTCCTTCTGAAACCTGGACACGAACTCCCTCAACATCTCGTTAATCCTTTGTTTTATCTTGAAGACGTCCGTTTTTCTCGTGGCCACCTTTATGGACCCGACGTGTGCTTTCATGAAGGCGTCTGCTAATATAGAAAATAAGTCAACAGAGTTAGGAGGTAAGTTGTGATACCAAATCATGGCTCCTTTCGACAACATTTCTCCAAACTTTTTCAGCAAGACTGATTCGATCTCATTGTCATTCAAATCATTCCCTTTGATTCCGCAAGTATATGAAGTAATATGCTCGTTGGAGTCGGTTGTTCCATTATATTTGGGTATATCGGGCATGCGAATCTTTTTGGGAATGGGCATCAGAGCCGCGCTTTGAGGGAATTTCTTTTGTATGAACTTTTTGGCATCTAAACCTTTCAAAACTAGACGTGCCCCCGGTATCTGGTCTACACGGGAGTTATATGTCTCCACCTTCTTATCATTGTCTTCAATTTTCTTTTTTCCGGACTCGATCCTCTTAGTGAGCTCTTCGAGCATCTTCATAATTGTGGGGTCAGTCCTCGAGCCGCTTTCATCTGGTCTTTCTAGCGCAGGTTCAGTACGTCGAGAGTTTACTGGTTCGGCAGTATTTGGAGTTTTATTCTGACTCTGAAGTTGAGCAATGACGATTTGCTGAGCCTGTAGCATCTCGAATATCACTTGGAGGCTGACTGCCCCATCTTCTATTCCTAGTGTTCCTTGATCCCCTGGTCAGGCTTCCCTAAGTACACACCCTTCGGGGTCTGTGCCTAAGTTGGCGTTAGAGCAATGTGTGAACTGACATCAACTGGTGCCATGTTTGGCACTTCCCCAGGGTTTACTGGTGGTACACCGACCCCTATATTGTTGTTTTCACCATGACCTTCGTTGTCATGAACATGTGCATTTTGTGAGCTAGACATGTTTCAGCCTGAGAATAAAAAATTCTTGACAAGAAAAAGTGTAAAAATAACGTGTGTAATGAGAATCAGTAAAGAACAATCACTATTAGCTTTAGCCCCATGTTGGGCGCCAAACTGTTTACCTCGAAAATACGAGTAACATTTAGATTTGATTTGTGGTTTTAAAGAAATGTGATTAAATTCAATACCAATTAATAATCAAGAAATATGAAATAGAAGTGAAAGAAGTAAGTGAATCAAACCAATGTAACTCAGCAGCAGTGATCTCGAGCTTAGTGACCTCGAGGTGGGTTTAGGACAATAAGAATAATTAAGCAAGAAAAGTAAAGTAAGAACAGTAGAGCTAAAGGACGATTCTGATGAACAGTAGGCAAAAAGTAGAGAGTATATTCTTTTCTCAATGATTATATGATGTTACAAATGATTGGGGTCCCCTTTATATAATAGGAAAACCCTAAATAAGGTATATTCCTATTTACAGTAAGGAATATTCTTGGTACAACTGTCTAACCGCCTAGTACGGAATAGTACAATCCTATTTCAGGATTTGCGCCATGATTTTGGGGACGTGGTAGGAATCTAGCCCATTCTACTACAAGTCAATAACGGTACTATTTCGGGGTCGAGCGTACTCAGCTTCGGCGCCCATTGTACTTTGATCATTGGTCATTGCGTCCTACCTTCAGGCTCGGGTTTGATCCATCGGTCTCGAACTCGACCTTGCCCAAACTCGGGCTCGAGACACACCCTCGAGCCTAGAAATCAGAGGTCTCTGATTTTGACCGTATACAATATGAGATATTTTAAGATCACAAGATTTAAAGCAAATTTCTAATATTTATTTATACCTTTGATTTTAAGATCACAAAATTTAATAGTTAAAATTTCATCCAAGCAAACTAAAATACATAAAATAACACGAAAATATAACATTTCCTATTCAATATTGAAAAGGAAAAATTACGCGATACATCAAACATTTACACTGTATTTATCATTCGTAACTATACTTTCAGCAAACATTTACACTATATTTATCATTCGTAACTATACTTTCAGCACATTTATTATTCGTTGTTGTATTTGGATTTTATAGCAAATCCATGAAATAAGAGATTAATTGTTTTGAATTGAAACAAGAGAGCAACTAGCTCTCATAGCTTAGTTGGTTAGAGCGCTTGCTTTCTGTATATTTGTGTTTTGTTTTAGTTGTATCAAGTTTTACAAGTTTGTAATAATTAAACAATAGTTACGAACGATAGTTAGGCAAATTATAGTTATTAGTCTCTAAACTATAGTGGTTTATGAAAATTCTCTTTTTTTACCTCCTATAGCAAATTATTACACCCTATTTACTATAAACCAAAATAATTTCAAAATATTATTACTTATAGCTACCTTTTCTATTTTATAGAAAAATAGGTATTTATTGATATCTACCATTGAGGCATGAAATATGCCAATTATGTTCTTTCTCTCTCTCTTCCTTCTTTCTCTTCGAGTAAAAAAGAACAGGATCGATAGTAGGTCCTTCTGGATTTAGAACTGATGGACTGATCGATAGTAGGTCCTTCTGGATTTAGAACTGACGGACATATCCATAGTTGATAGAATATAAGGGTCCACCAAACTCTATAGAGAACCAGGTTCTTTATCAGGTTCGACAATACACACACAAAGCAGTAAATAAATGAGAAGAGGAATTTTACGTGGAAAATTCCTAGCTCAACGAGATTAAAAACCACGACCTATCCTTGTAGGATTTCAACTTCACTACTGAGAAACTTTTAGATTACAACCTATGCAACCTAGGAATTAACCTCATAATCTCTCACTAACTTGTAATACTCTATTACAAGCCACTTTATAATAACTCTATTATAAGGACTTTACAACATGACTAACTCTAGCCAAAACTCAAACACACAGGTTTAAGGTTTACAAAGAGCTTCCTAGATAATGCTTCTAAACAAGCTAGGTAAGAATTTGAATTGAAGAACTATTACAAAGTTACAACTCCACTAAGGACATACAATAACTCTATGTGGGAACTGGTCCGTAGTTGTTTTGTTCTTTGTTCTTGAAGCACTTGAAACTTTCATGCTAGATAGTCATGTGAATGAGCTTCTGAAAAGTTCAAGTGACTGAGTTTTACCTCCCTTAAATGTATATATACATGTATGACATCACTTACAATGATGTAAGCAAGGTAGCAAAAAAGTCTTCCCTGGAAAGTTGACTACAACACTGTTCCTGCACTGTAGCATGTGCATGCAGCAACTTTTCAACTGGAAAGTTGACTTCGTACAGTCACCCCGGGAACTGGTAGGGACCTGTTCCCTCAGCTGTTCCTTCCACTCTGAAGAGTTGAATCATATCCCATGCTGGATCCCCACCCGGAACTTGTGATCTTAAGGCCTTGTAAATATGTAGCAGGTTCCTAATCTGGTTCTGTATAGTAAGTTTTTTAGATCATCGAAACATAAAGTAAGGTACTTATAACCAAAGTGCTTGCAACCTATCAATTTCCCCCTTTTAGATGATGACAAATTTATAATTGAAAACCTTGGAAAGAGCCACAAAGAACCAGATTGTGAACCAGAAAGACCTTAAGTTCCCCCTGAAACTCTGCATTCCCTCTTAATCAGTCAATTATTTTCCCCCTTTTGGCATCATAAAATGATCAGAAATAGGTAGGCAAGAAGGAAGTCTAGTTTTAAGTTAACTCATGCCACTTATGTGCACACAGTCATGATTAAGAACAGAACATAAAAGCACGGTATAAACAACAACAAGGGAAAAACTTGCAGTAACATAGTTTTGGATTTTACAGCAGGAGTATAGTCAATGTTACTACCACATCCATACATTAGAACAATTCACAAAAATACCACAAGTTATCATCATAAGAACTGACATGGAGAGACTGGACACTGATGGGATAGAATTTAAGAAGCACTGGGAGGAGAAGGTTTGGAAGCAGAGGAAATTGTTTGGAGGACTAAATCCGTTTGAGCATTTTCTAACATTTGCTCATTGAGCAGTCTTTCTTTCAGGTCCTCCACTTGTTTCCTGAGCTCAGCGTTCTCCTTTGTCAGGCGAACAACCTCTTTGCTTTGAGAGTGACTGGAACCAGGTGCCTCTTGCAGCTGACTTATCTGAGTGTCAAGGATTTCCTTGCTTTCAATTTCCTTATCTCAGTAGTAGCACTGTTTTGAGCATTTATTAACTGAGAAATAGTAGAAGTGCTTTCAACCCCTCCAAATTTTTCTATGCACTCACATTCTTCAAGAGTGCTTTTTGAAAAAGTTTGCTTCTTGGCACCCAATTTAACTGGTCCGAGAGGAACCTTGAAGTGCTCAAAGACCTTGGTAAGAAGGAACCCATATGGAAGCCCATGATTACCATCTTTAAAGTCTTCCACTTTATTCACATGCTCTATCATGATCCCAAGTAGATTGGTGGTAGTAAAGTCATCCAGTGCTTCCATGAGGAACATGTCTGCACGAGAGGTGAGGGATCTTTGCTCAGCTTGAGGCAGCAACACTTTGTTTACCATCTCAAACAGCAGTTCGTAAATAGGAAGGAGGACCTTCTTCTGAACCCGTTCCCCCTACTGAACTGCTCTGTCCTTCAAGATTGCATTTCTGAAGTTCTGAAGACAAGTTCCCTGAACACTAGATATCCCTTTAGTGGGCACATTGGTGTGTGATCCCAGCAAGGCAGAGTCTATTACCATATCAACTCCATTCACCAATGCACAAATGTGACCATCTTCAACCTTGTACAAGTCGGCATAAAAACTTTGAACTTCCTCCTCATATACGCTAGGAGCATCACTTGTGAACAAGTGTGTCCATTTTTGGAAATCATATATCTTAACTAACTGTCTCATACCAGCCTCCTCCAAGACATCAGAGGCAAATGTGCTCCCCCATAATACCTTTTGTCTTTTCAATCTTTCTTTCCCAGCACTTCCCAGATTTATAAACTTTGGCCTTCTTTAAGGAACTAGGTTCCTCGTCAGTATCAACCTTTCTCTTAGCAGTCTTGCGAACACCTTTCTCCTTTTTATCAGACTTCATAGATTTTTCACCTGATTCTTTCTCCACATTCTCAGTAGCAATAACATCAACAAACCTAGTCAAATGTTTAGTAGAAATAGAAGATCCCCCTTTGGTTTGAGAAGACCATGCTTTTTTGATAACTTCCTAGTAAACGTACTAGGTTCCTCCGCTTCTTCTTCATCCACACTCACAACCGGCACTATCTTCTCATTTACAACTTTGCCATCTTTCACTAATTTTCTTCTCCTTTACTTAGTCTGACTGTTCTTAAGTGCAGACTCAAGATCCTCCTTCTTTTGCAACCTTGTTGTGGGTTGCTTAGGAGTGGGCTCTCCACCAACAGCTACTCTATGCCTAGGAAAACTGGCAATTGATAAGTAATCAGAATCTTCTTCACTATCCTCCTTTTGATTTTCAGACACAGGGCTTGTATCAGGCATAGTTACTCTTAGAGGCTCAACATCTAAATGAGGAGAGGGAGCAGAGTCAGCACTGACCTGGGGTTCCTGAGTAGGATCCTCCGAAGGCGGATCAGGTCTTCCAGTAGGTTCCCCAGTAGCACCTTCCTGTGTTGAAGTTACAACAGGAACAAGCTCATTATCCTCTCCAATAGGCTCAGATTCTTCCCCTGAGTATTAAGACCATCCTCACTTCCTCCAATAAAAATCCCTTCATTGGCGATGGACAACATATTTTCGATTGCTTCCTTTTCTTGCAGATTCATGAGAAGCTCAGGAGAAGTAGGAGAGGTACCTGAGGATAGGGGTTCATGAGCAGTCTTTGTTGAGTCGATGATTTTATTTCCCTCAACCTGGTCTATCTTTGGCTCTTCTTCTATAGGAGAACTTGAGATTTTCTGATTTTCTTTATTCTCAACGATACTCGTGTCATTCCTCTTTTCTCGCTAGGTAAGAGAGGAGCTCTAGGTAACACCTCTTGTGAGAGTTGATGCTTGGTGACTCTTGTGAGAGTAGGAACTCGAATGGGTAAGAGAGGAGATGGAGTGTGAGGGTGACTCTGTTCTAGGGTTTTTGTTATCAGTAGTGTGAGAAGGAGAGTCTGGCGTTAGTGTTTTGATTGGTGAGGACTCGATAATACTAGAGATCATTTGATCTTCAGTCATGGTGGGAAGAAGAGAGAAGATTTGGTGAACGGAAGAGAGAAAGAATAGGAAATAGGTTTGGAAGCGTTGATGTGTGAAGTGAGGTGTCAGAGATAGATGTATTTATGATGACAGAGGGATCAGTTAGAAAAAGGGCGGCAGGTTTTAGGGAGATGGGTCGATTAATAACCGGTGAGGCGTTTGGGTTCAAAAGACACAAAACTAAAAATTGACATGCTGATGATGTGGTACTTGTTTTGATTGTTCAGAATTGTGTATGAGAGTACAGAGAAACTACTAACCCATGTTAGGAAAACCAGGTTCCCTGACTGATCTCTTGTCTGTAAGCTTTGCCCTTTTTACCAGTGTATACAACCTCAATTGCTTATTTGCTCTATAATCATCAAACGTGTCTACCTTTAACGTTATAGAGATGAGTTAGACTTTGCCAGAAAACACTGTTTAGCGAAATTTACCTGAACCTTTCTTTCATAGCCAATCATTGACGGACCAGGTTCTCAATTGGGTTTTATCAACCCTAATGCAGACAATTTTGCTCGAAGTGATCTCTGCTCAGGGCTTTGGTAAATATATCTGCAATTTAATCTTTAGTGCTGCAAAAGTTCATGCATATAAGCCCTTTCTCAACATATTCTCTAAGGAAGTGATGACGTACATCAATGTGCTTGGTCCTCTTATGTTGAACTGGATTTTTTGCCATGTTGAGTGCACTAGTACTATCACATAAGAGAGGCACACAGTCTGAGAATACTCCAAAATTTTCCAATTGTTTCTTGATCCACAGAAGTTGAGCACATCAAGAGGTAGCTGCTACATATTCAGCTTCTGCAGTTGAAAGTGCCACAGAGTTCTGCTTCCTTGTACCCTATGAGATTAAGCAGGAATCCAGGAAGTGTGCCATTCCAGACGTGCTTTTCCTATCCACCAGATATCCTGGATAATCAGCGTCAGCATACCCAATAAGATCAAAGCTGTCTCCTGAAGGATAATAGAGGACCAGGTGCTGTGTTCCTTTGATATATTTTAGTATTCTGTTGGCAGCCTTCAGATGAGACTCCTTTGAATTGGATTGAAACCTTGCACAGAGACCCGTGCTAAAAACAATGTCTGGTCTGCTTGCAGTGAGATACAATCGTGACCCTATGATCCCTCTATACATGGTCTAATTTACAGGGGAACTAGGTTCATCCATGTCTAGACGAGTGGCTGTTGCAATGGGCGTGTCGATAACTTTTGATACTTCCATATCAAACCTTTTCAGCAGCTCCTTGATGTATTTTTGCCGACTTATCAATGTTGACTTCTTAGATTGTTTCACTTGAAGTCCTAGGAAGAAA